GGTCAACGAGAGGTCCGAAGTTAAAAAAAATATATATAGGTCAAGGTCACGGGGGTGGTGTAGGTGGTCGTTCCGGAAGGCGGAAGGGAAAGGGGAAGTATGATATAAAGAGGGGTATATATATATATAAGGTGGGAATATAAGTCAAAGTATGATTGAGTCAAATTGTAAAGAAAAATTATAATGTATCAGAGTAAAATAGTAAAAGGAAAATTGTTTTTTTTTGTGAAATTTGGTGGAGCTGAAATAAATATTAGAGAAATGTTTAAAAAATGTTGAATTAAATAAATTAAGGAGAAATAAAATTATTAAAAAAAAAAATTTTTTTGGAAGTTTAGGTTAAATAAAATAATGTAAAGGGAAAAGGGTTTTGAAAGTGTATATTAAGTAAAATAAATTTTCGAAATATATTTGGTGGAATAAACCGGTAACGAAGAAGGAATAAGCGGCGGAATAATATTGAAGCGAAAATAGTTGAAGGTTCTTGTGGTAAACGGAGGGGCGGAGGCAGGAATAGAATGGGTATGAATAATGGGAATAGGTGGATGGGATGATGTAATAAAGAGAAGTATTGAGAAAAATAAAAATTAATTTAAAAAAAAAAAAAAAAAAAGTAATGGTAAAAAAAAAATTAATAACGGGGTTAGGGTTGAGTGATTTGTATTATAATGTTTTTTATATTATAATGTTAATAACGGGGTTAGGGTTGAGTGATTTGTATTATAATGTTTTTTATATTATAATGTTGTATTTTGTTGGCAGGGAATAGTGAATTAAAAGGAAAAAATAATAATAATAATAATAAGATGTTAATAAAGGGAGTAATGGTTGTTTGTTGTTTTTAATTTTTCGTAAGAGAAAAATAGTAGGAGTTAAGGTTAAATGATAAAAAATATAATAAAGTTAATAAAAGTTTTTCTGTTAACGAAAATAGAGAGAGAAAGAGAGAAAAAAAATAGAGTTAGGGAGATGGGGTATTGAAATATAAAGGAAATGATTTACGAGTAAGAGAGTGTTGAGAAAAGGAAAATTTTGAATAAGTAAGAGAAGAAGAAAACATAAAATTCATAATTTTATTCGGTAGAGGAAAATATCATTTTATTCGGTATGCCGATTATTAATAAGTAAGTCGTTATATATATATATGCAAGGAGAGTGATGAGGAAAGGGAAGGGAAGAAAAGGGGGAAAGCAGAAAAAAAAAAATAATAATAAGAGAAGGTAAATGATTATGTGATATAGATATGTAGACCTGGGTACTCATTTGATGCGAAATACGATAATTAGTGCGGATATGGAACCGCTTGCTAGTGAATGGAGGGCTTTAGCCCAGGAAGGCACGAGATCAATGGAGGGGAAAAGAAGACCATCAGAGCACTCAAGGGAAACGGTACGTGAAGAAAGAGACAGGGTGATATGTTATGGTTGTGGAATGGCGGGACATATCCGCCGGTGGTGTCCCAAGGAACGGTTTGATACTATGGGAGGGCGAACCTGGAAGGAGTCGGAGCCAACGTCCGCATCTTCCGATAACAGAGCAATACAATCAGATCAACGAATGGCGTCGGACACGCCAGTGTTACGGGTAGGAGAAGATGAGTATAGGCAGTTGTTGGGGCCAACGAGGTCCGATAAAGGGGGGAAATGTCATAAATGAGTGACATATTTGATGATATTTATTGCGTGAACATTAATAAATAAAATTGTGCAGGTTCATTATTAGACCGTATTTTAATATTTTGTTTTATTTTATTTTTAGATATCGAAATTAAGTTTTGTTAAATCATAATGAGATTGTATTTTATGCGCTTCCCTATAAAAGGGAAGCGAAATATTATAAAATGATTATTCACTATTTTATTTTTTGTTTTTAATATATTTTTTTTGGTTGTAATAGTAAATTTTGAAATAAAATTATTCGTTATTTTTGTGTGGGAAATTCAATAAAATTATTATACTCGGAGTTTTGCTTTCTATTCGGACTTATACGGCACAACGTGATAGTAGGTTTATGGTTTCTTGATGAGCAACGTAATGTGGTATTTGTATTTGTGTTTGTATTTGCTTCATTCACTGGCACAACCATTTCTGTAACTTCCAAAGAACTTTCATGATTTGGAATAACTAAACGATTTCTTAACTGATCTGCATGCTTCCGTAATGTTTTCCCGGAAGATTCAACAATATAAGAATAAAGTCCTATTCTTTCTTTAATTACTCCCTCTCTCCAACCATTGGTATTTTCATTATTTAACCATATAGGTTGTGAGATTTCAAATTCTCTTTCCTTTGAATGTAAATCATGATGAAGGCTTTGTTTATCATTAGCCCTTACTATTTCGTGTTCGGCATTTGGTCGGATCCAATCCAGACTTGTTTTCAATTGCCTCCCAAACATAATTTTAGCAGGAGATCTCCCTGTGGAACTATGCTCTCCCAATCGGTAGGTTGTTAAAACCTGTGTCATAGCTTCTTTGGGATCGCTAATTGAATCTCTCGTTGCATAATACCGACCTTTCAAAGTTCGTACTGTACGTTCAGCTAATCCATTAGTTTTTGGATGATAGGGTGCCGAACGTATATGACGTATGTTATTTAAATCACAATACCTACGGAATTCCCCTGATAAGAATTGTGGTCCTTTGTCTGACACACTGTACTTGGGTATTCCAAACCTAGCAAACCATTAATTTAGTCGTTTTATCATAGCATCAGCAGAGGTATTCTGCATTAGATCAACTTCTAACCATGGTCTATTTTTCTGGCATCCAGAACATATTTTGATAAAATTTTCTATATCAACATCACATCTGGGCCACCAACAATACAATCTAAAAATAGATTTCATTACATTTTCCCCAGGATGTCCCCAGTGAATCATTCCTAACACTGCATTTCTTAATTTATTAGGAATAACCAATCTCCCATTCCATTCTATAATATCACGATTGACAGAAAGCTCTTCCCGTCGATTATAAAAATTAACTATTTCTTTATCTTTATGACGATCAAAGTTTCGCCAACTTTGCTGAATATGTATTGCTACTTTTTTTAATATTAAATCTTGCTTCGACTCTTTTCGTAGAATATTTTCTGACAATTGCATATCATCTAAATTAATACTTCGAATATCCAAAACATGTTTAGAATCTTGATTCTCTTCCGAAATTTCTTGGTGTTTATTAATCAAATCTCGAATTCTAGAATCTAGTGTTATGCAACATTTTTCTTTTTCAATATTGTTGACCAAATTGCGTACTTGTTTAATCATAACCTGACGAGGCATTTCTAAATTGAATGCTATAATCCATGGTAATCCGAAAAGAGGCACCCCAGTTGTATTCATTATTACCACTGGTAGAGTCCTTGTCTGTGATCCAATCCTAACATTGACTTGGGTCTCGCCCTTGACGTCTAACGGATGATCACCATATGCAGTCAATGGACTGGTTGGCCTAATTTTTGGTCGCCCAATACTTGTCCATATATCAATTCCTATCAATGACGCTTGTGCACCAGTGTCAAAATCAAATTCAACATCTAACCCATTTATCTCTGCAGTTAGTTTTGCTCGATTCTCTCGATTTTGTTGAATCTTCCAAATATTATGAATAGAATCACTTGATGACACTCTTATATAGTTTAAATTCTTTGATTTACAGCAAACTGCAAAATGACCAATTTTTTTACATTTATTACATGCCGCATTTGTAGCTGGACATCTCACTTCTCGGTTATGAATAAAACCACATTTATAACATTTAAGTTTATTATAATCTTTATCATTATTATTATTGTAGTTATTATTCTCTTTATCAAATGTATTATTATACTTGACTTTATTATAGCCTTTATCAATTGTAGTCGTCGTTTTTATTGGATGTTTATAATTATTATCATTATCATTTCTTTTGTTATTAACATTTATCTTATTAACAACTGGCATATTTTTATTTGCCATTTCTTTATCTGCTCGCTCAGAAGCTAATGCCAGATCAAGAATAAATTGAAAAGTCAGTACATTATTATCTCTATCAAGACCGTCGGGGTATAGAGCTCTAAGATCTCTTTCCAATCCCGGTATTTCCATGCCATCCATAAACTGATCACGTAAACGCTCGTCAATATCATTAAGATAATGACAACGCTTTCCAATTGTTCTAATTTTATTTGCAAATTCAGTTATGGTTTCAGTTGTTCTCCGTAATCTAACGAAATCAAATCTAGAAGCAAAAGCTGTTGACGTCGGTTTAAATAGTTTAAAACATATTGACTTAATTTCCTTAAAAGATAAAGTTTCGATCGAATCAGGATAACAAAAACGGTCCACCAACTCAATATTCTTATTGCCAAAAAATGTTAAAAATATATCTTTATATTGACATTCAGATGGGCTTACGTTTTTTAACCGAAAACTGGCTTCCCATTGAGAAAAATATCTGTGAATAGAAGTATCCAACTCGAATTTATCAAATTTAATCGTAGATAAATCCGCTATTTTTTTTGAATCTCCATTTAAGGAATTATTTTCTCCATTTAAGGAATTATTATCTCCATTTAAGGAATTATTTTCTCCATTTATCGTCGCCATTTGTAGTAATACCAACTACTAATTATAAACAATACGACCACTGATTTATATTTCAATTTATTTTTGATATCAAATTTTATTTTTTGTTTTTCGAATGTTCGATTCTATTTTTAATATACAATATACATAAATAATCATTTATTAATTTATTACAGAGCCCCTGTGCTCCTCTAACGCCACTGTAAAATTTATATTAATTTAGCAGTAATATGATTTTTATTTATTTATATCATATCCATTCGTAGTAGTTCAATAAGATAATTTCTATAAATATAGATTCCTCAAATTATTAATATCTGAAAGGCAGGTTCTATGAAATAGGGCTAATAAAAATTTACAAAACCAGCTCCTTATATATAGGTTTTTAAAAGGGGTCATCATCTAAGCAATATAAATTTAGCGTTATTTTTTTTTTCTCATAATTTGAAAGCTCGGTTATCTTTTTAAATGGAATATTCTCAATAGATATGATAAAAAAAGTATTTCACTTGCCCCCTCATACGTTACCTCACTATTTATTATTGTATAATTTTTTTTTCATAGAAATATTCACAAATCTAACTTAAATTTTGAACCAACATCATGGGAAAAATATTTTGACCACAAAGATGGGATATTAATAGGAGATAATATATCCTTTTTTATGATTTATGTGAAAATTATTTATAATACTCTTTCCTTAAATTTTCTTAACTTTAAATTATTGTAAACAAGTTTAATGTATATACTAAAGGAATTCTTGGCCCTGTCTTATTTTTTATACATGGTGGGGGATTTTCTGGACTATCTTGGGCATTATTAGTAGTATGATACATTGAACTATTATTTAAAATATTCTTTAAAAGGAAGATCTGAGCAAACTAATTGACTGTAGATATATAAGTATGGATCTCAGAGGCCATGGTGAAACTCAAACCATGGATGACCTTGATTTATCTATTGAAACACTTACAAAGTTTGATTAATCATCTTTTTAGTTTTATTTCTTTTTTATTATGAATATTTAATTATATAAACTTAGCTGTAATATGCAACTTTCAAATCATTGTACACTGCCACTGCTTCTTAATCTTGTTTTATTTATGTTGCCAGCAACATTTTAGACCCATTCTGTATTTAAAACAGTCAAGCATAATTTCTTAGAATTTATTTAGCCTCAATTACTTTTTTTGGTCCAGAATTGTTAAAATGGAAAGTAAAATTAGTAATATTGATTGCCCAATTATATTATTTTTCCAACTTAATTGATATAATTGAAATGTATTTATTTTTAAATCAGCCCACCTGGATTTAAAAAATTTTTAAACCAAGTCTGGATTTTAAAATATAACCATTTTTTGGGTTTGTTCCTGGTTGGTTTCTGACTTGCAGATCTCTGATTGCTAGATAAAAAATACTTATCATTAAAATAATTTAAAATTAAATTCTAATTTTTACAATAATTAGAACATTATTTTTCAACAGGTAAAAAAAAATTTGGATTTTTTATACTTATATTTGTATATATTTAAATGCCACATTAGAGATGTTTTGGGTGTACTGACTTATCTATTCTCAGCTACCAACACAAATATTATCTTAGTCGGACATAGCATGGGTGGGGGTGTGGCTGCCCATGTTGCTGAAGAGGGAGTGTCTCAATCTATTGATTTTATCAAAGGAATAATACTCGTAGATGTTGTTGAAGGTAAAAATAATTGTGTAATTGGAGAAGATAACCATTAAGTATTTGCCTTTAAAAAAGTGATATGTATATAATTTTATATTGGTTAAAAGTTGTTATCTTTAAATGCATGGTTAAGAGGTAATTAACTTTTCAGTTTTGATTTAGCTGGGTTGCACTTTTTAAAAAAAAATGATTTCATACTTTTATTTCTTCAATATAATTTGTATTTTTTTGTGGTAAATGTTGTTAAACCACCTAGTTTTGAACACCTCATATGTTAGTTTAGCTAAGGTTTTATAGTTGTGCAAAGGTAGGTGATTTAACAAGACCATTGTCATTCAATTTTTTAAAATATTTTGATGAAACATTACACACTGAGATTCCAAGTGTCGAACAGAATTGATAACTTTAAGGAGTGATTTTTATCCTAACCTTGGCTTACGTTCTATTTTAAGCAAAATTAAAATAACATCTTTGATCAAAATACTGGCTTGATTAAAAAAATTGCCTATAATTTATTATAAATTTCACAAAGAATTTTTTTTAAAAATAACTTTTCTGGATAATTCTTTGAATATTTGTATTATTCAAATAATTCAAATTATTCCTTTTATTTAAATCCCATATTTTTTTATTCCAATTTAAACAAAACTAATAATTTACTATTCATTTTCGTTATTATTCTTTTTTTGAATAGGCCTAAAATAATATTATGAATATATTTAATTATATTAAATACTGAGCTGAGCTATTATATTTTTTATTCATGCCATTTTTTAACTTTAAATTACAGGTCTGCAAAGCCAGACCTGTTAAGAATTTTTGCATGTTAAAATTTTACAAAAAGTCCTCACTGATCTTGTAAATTTTTTTATATGAATCTTCTGACCATCACATATTTAATATCTGTCCCTAATTTTTACCAATGTTAATTAAGGTTCCTATATCTCTACTCTATGGATTTTTATAACAACCGTTTTATAAATCAATTGTGATATCCGTATTTGTAATTGAATCATATTAATTTGTATTATAGTTAGACAGCTCTTTAAATACCAGTTAAAGAGCACATTCCTGGAACGAGGCTATATTTTTTTTAAATTTATGAAACTATTTAATTATATTAAATGTTGAACCAGGCATTTATATCTTTTTATTCTCTCCATTTTTTAAATTCAAATTATAAAACATAAACTATGGAAGACGATATTATTTTAATTACAGAAGAAATTTAAATGGATGAAATAAAATATCTATTTCTATCCTTCAAGAAATATTTTTCTCTTCTTAGAAAGGTAGGATTTTTGAGAAAAAGTTCTGAAAATGGATAAAGATTTTTCAACTTGTTGATATATCGATTATATACTGATTAACAGAACAGTATGACTTTCTACCATGGCACCTGTCACAACATTAATTTAGTGGCCACATTTGATGCAGAGAAAGCTTTAGAAAATCAAAGTTTTAAAATAATATCAAAACTCTTTTCAAAGGTATCTTTGTATAACAAACAAAATATGGTCGATGGGTAATTCCATATCAAATCGATAACTTTTCAGCATGACCTCGATAAAATTTTGCATACTGAGAGAATATCATTAGAAAGCATCGAATCTAAAATTTTACCATCCTGGTACTAAATAGTTCCTGAGATATCAATGGTCAAAAGTGCCAAAATTATCTTTTTCGAAAAATATGATTTTTCAAAATTGAGATAAGTTAAAAAATAATGATGCTAAAAATAAAAATTATATGTCATTTTATAACACTATTAAAGGCCTTTTATTAAATATTAAGGATATTTTTTAAATAATATTATTGCTATTTTTATTTACGTTATAAATTTTAAACATAAAAATTCAAGGTGTTTCGCTTTTCAATTTTTTTGAATTTAATATTTTCTTATTCACTAACATTAAATCTATTCATAAAAAAATTTAAACTTGGGACAGCTATAGGTTTTTAGTTATTGCGATTTAGAAAATCAAAAAATAAATATTTTTATCAAAAATAGATATGCTCCTTTATAAAACGTTTTATTAAAATTAATTTTTTCTTAAACTTTTTTTCCATTTGTAAACATAAATAAGATTTTCCAGCATTAATATTATGAAATGAGATTATTTAGCTGCGATTGTAATCATTTTTTTCTTGTAAGAAATTTTGATTTTCGTAAAATTATTTTATTAATTTTGTAAATATAATAGATAAAATAAAATTCATGAAAGGTATTACCTATTTTCTGTTTTTCATTAAATTTAATTTTTTTGACGCCATGATAATTTCGTTTTGCGATAAATTACATGCAAGCTCAGTAGCCGTTGATTGGCTAACTATTGTTATAATATTATTTTTTGGCATGAAATAGAGATCTTGTGCCGCTGGATAAACAAAAGAATTTGCTGGTCCTTTATGTGAAGAAAATTAATTTTTATTTCATCTCTAATTATATTCACTAATTGTACAAATCCTAACAACCTATCGTTTTCATACACACAGGCTACATTTCCTCATCTCATTGATTAACAGATCCTCAATCAAAAGATCCTCACGTGGATACTATATTCTGTATGCGAATTAGAATATAGTTTAGTGTTGAGCTTAGTTAAACATCGGAAACACTGCATTAATTTTTTGTGTCCTAGGTATTGAGATAGATTTACTAAATATCTCATATAAGAAAAATTTATTCCTTTTATATGCTCTCCCGCATATTTATAAAATTGTAAAGGTGCAATTATTTGATCAGTATAAGGTTTTTGTAAGCTTGCCTTGGGAATTAACCTGTTTTTGTGACGCCTATGCCATCGCAGGCACTTTTACCATGTGCCGTAAGAAAAAAATGTCATTCTGCTTGAACACCAAAATCGATTTCATGGTAATAAACTTTGATGAAGTTTTTCCTATTTTTATATTGCCCTTGCTGACATCAGAAAAGTAGTGAATTTTTTCTTCTGGTGTGTCGAATTTATTTTTTTTAAAATGAATCAAATGCGATTGGAATAAATGGAATGAAACAGTATTATGAATTAAGGATTCCGATATTAATACAAAATTTAGGTTGTTTATTTGATCTCCTATTTATAATAAATTGAGAAAGGATGCAACGTAACTTGCGAAGTTGTCTAATGATAACCCTGAACTTCGTCTTGGACAATAAAGGAATTATTTTCTGGAAAGTCACAAATAAGATAGTGATTATTTTCTAAACTATTTTAAGAATATAGTGAAATGAACTTTGTTGTTCACAAATAAATGAATGCCATATGAGAATATTCATTTCGTTTGAAGATTGAGAAACAGTCCTCAGAGTTGTTCTATCTACCTAAACCCACTGTTTAAACGTAACAAGAGCTATATCATTTTTTATTAATAATTTAGATGCGTTCTTTTAAGAGTACCGAGCCAGGACACTCGTTGCAGTCACCAAAATAACAGGTGAGTCATGGGGGATTGCAAATCATTCTGCCTATGACATCTCTATAAATTGTTAATATATCCTCACCATTTTCAGTCAATGTTGCTAATTCACAGCCTAAAATCCTAAGTTTAATATTCTGGTGTTATGCTACAAACTCATACACTATGTATTCCTCTAGCCCCTGCTAATATACAATTTTTTGGTCTTAAGCTATCAAATTTCGATAATCCAATTGTTATGTTGGAATTACTCTCCTTAAAATGTTTATATATTTCTTTTAAATATTAAGAACTAACCTTTTTTGAGCGTTCACTCGTTCCCCCTTTTCAATGATAAATATGCAATCTTTTTTCCCTGGTAATACTACTAACTTTATCACTGCATAAACATATCAACTGTTATTTGATTGAGATATTTTGCAATGGTCAGCAAATTTCATATTATTAAGTATATCATTATCATTTGTATCCGATTCTTTTGTTAATTATTATATCTGAAATAGCTTTTGATATTTTCACTATCTTTTTATGTTTACGACATTTATCACAAATATAGTGTTCCGCCTCGATGTTTGGAAATTGTGTCATCCACGTCATGACTTTACGCAGTGTTTTTATATTGAAAGTGTTTAGATTCTTGGATTTGCGCATTTATATTTATACATTATAATTAATTTTAAGAAAAAAAATTAATATCTAAATATTTGTAAATTAAAAATTAATTAATTTAAGGGCAGGTGCATGAAAACTGGCTTTTATCTTTCAACAATTAGTTATTATATTTTCTAGAGTTGTTAAAGTATCTAGATACAAGTATCTACATCCTGTATCTAGATATAAAAATGTGGTATCTGTATCTACATAGATTTTTGATTAAAGTATCTGTATCTAGATATTATTTTAGACATATCTGTATCTGTTTTTAGATACCTTTTAAGATACATTTTTTATACTTTTATTTAACGCTTTTTTATATTATAAATAAAAATACTTGAATGCAAAATTTATTTTATTTCATATGAGCTTATAATTTAAATATATATATTAAAATATATTAAGACTATAGTGAAAAATTATATATATATAAAATATTAAAACTTATATATAAAAATATATATATAAATATTCATTAAATATTATCAGAGTTTATCAATAAACCAGTCAAATTTTTATATAACAATGCAATTCAAGGAATCTGCCATTTTTATTTTCAATAAAATTAGTTAATTTTATTTTATTATACTAATTTTAAAAATTTATTTTAGATTAATATTAATAGTGATGAAGAGGAAGAGGAAGAAGTAATAATCAATGAAGCATCAACAAGTGCTGACTGACATTGTTTTCATGGCCAATTTATAGAGCATATTTTAAAATAATATCTCAAATTAAAGAAAACAAATCTCTGATAGTAAAATGTTTGCCATATCTACAAAAAAATACGAAAATTTCAGTTAGCATTACCTCAACTTGCAACATTGTAAAACATTTAAGGGTATAGATACTAAATAAATGTTTACAATTGTTATTTTAAATTTAAGGGAAAAAATCAAACACTGTTAATGAAAAAAACAATCAATACAAAGATTAGTTGATGAATTATCAAGGTCTTCAACTGATTGCAAACAAATAACCTGTCAAAAAAAACAAATAATTTAATATCCGATTTTTATATTACCTCACAGCAGTAGATATGTTTGTTAATAATGATTTAAATTTTGATACTCAACAAATTTTAAAAAAAATTTTCAAAAATAAATGTCGAGATTTTAGTATTTTAAGAGAATATCCTGATATATGTTATTCATAAAATATAACACCAGAATCCCTTCAAGTGCCCAGGTAGAAAGGCTTTTTAGTGTAGCTAAGAATGTCTTTACGGATTAACGAAGATGTCTTAATGACCAAAATTTTGAAAATATTTTATTACTGAAATCTAATAATTATTTATAATCATTTAATCATATATTTTCATATATTATATTAAAATCTAAAAATCATTATTTTAGTTATATTTTGATAAGATATCTATTCAATGAAGTTTTTAGCTAATTTCATACATTTTCACAATAGAAACCTAATTTAGGTTTATTCAAAGCTTATATAAGAGTATTAAAAAATTGTATCTGTATCTAGATACATTTAAAAAAATGGTATCTGTATCAAGATAACTTTTTAGACGCTGTATCTGGATCTAGATAACTTTTAAGATGATGTATCTGTATCTAGATCCATTTAAAAAATATCTTTAACAACTCTGATATTTTCTTGTAGGAGCTATTGGAATCACGATTTATTTAGGAATTTAATCATTTATTATAGAATTAACTAATTTTTCTGGTTAGTGAGTGATGAAGAAAATATTAAATTCAAAAAAATTGGAAAGGGAAACACCTTGAATTTTTATGTTTAAAATTTATAACGTAAATAAAAATCGCAATAATATAATTTTAAAAGAATCCTTAAAATTTAATAAAAGGTCTTTAATAGAGTTACAAAATCAAATAGAAATTATATAGGATATCATGAGTTGTAAAATAAATAAATTTCCTTAAAAAATTATATAAAAGAATAGAAAATCATTTTTATAATCATTTAAATATATCGAAAACTATTAAATCTATTAATAAATTTTTTACAAATCGAATATGGCCGACAATATTTTTGAAGCGATGAAAAAATATATAATAATAAATATTTTAAAATTTTAATGACCGCCAATATGTGTAATAAAATATCGATTTATATACATTTCTGAATTTTTAAATAGCTGGCATGCCAGCCTAATTTATACCCGGGTAAATAGAATCAAAGAAAGTTGTGAATTTATTCTTATTAATACTATTTTTTTTAGTTAGATATTTTATTACTTGCACATTTTTTAAAAAAAATCACAATCTCATATTTAAAATAAAAGGTACAGCCATAGATGCCTTAAGTGGAATGCAAAGTTATCTACGATCACGACCCAAAAGCTTTGATTCTGTCACTAAAGCCATTGAATGGAGGTGTTATATATTATTTATTAAAACACATTCCTCTATCAACTCCCACGAACAAGATCTCTTTATCCTATCAGATGGTTCCCATTTTACTTTAGATTTTCTGTGTATTTTACGATTTATAATGGCCAGACCGTGGTATCTACGAAACTGGCAATAAATCTTTTCTGACAATTTTTTTCTGTAAAACCTCCGTACAGGAGCCAATATGTCTACATAATTTACACATTTTTGGTCGCTTAACCAGTTTTATTATTTTTTTGTTGCTTCCTTTGGTCTCCATTTCTCACCAAGTCCTAAAATATTTTTGATGGAAAGAATCAAATAGGCATGTCGGCTAGAAACAAAACCGTTTTAAAAGGTTTAAATTTACAATCATAATGAAATTGAATTGTTATACATGTTCGACGTCTTGACTCGGGCCAATGTTTTAGCGCTTATAAGCATGGAATCAAATCATTCATCACTACATTTTATTTGACATTTCGGATTATATTAATAATGGGGGCTAGAGCTTTAGAATTTTAAATCAGTTCACTACCAAATGTATATCATTTAAGAATCAAATACTATAACATTAATACAGATGAATTTAAAATTTCGAATTTTATTCACTAGATTTTTGGTTTGATCTTTAGTTTTGCTACCTTTAGAGCTAACTAAGGATGCATCGTTAACCATTTCTTTTAGTATGTCTAAATATTACCAATTTGATCTCGATCTTAACTCCTTATCTCATAGAATCTAATTGACATGGCCATCAATTATATTACCTAATGTTAAGCATAAACTTGTTTATATTTTTTTGATATAAGCCGATGTTTAGGGACTTGATTAAAATAGTACATATAAGTTCGACATCTATATTTGATTACGCCATATTTAAAATTAGATTAAGGTTATGACATGGTGGACATGGTGCCAAAACGCACCTAGATTTATATCAATAAATTTTTGGGCTTCTTTTATTTTGAGTATAATAGATGACTATCTGACGGGAAGACATAAAATTATATTAGGGGAGATTAGGGTAAAGCAATAGACGGGGTAGAAACTCTTGAGTATAAAGACTTTAAATTTGGTGTCAAGATGTATTTTTATCTAATTTCTCTATGTTAATCTTTTAAAAAACTCTCCCGGATTGTCATATTTTGCCAAAAAACCGTATTTTACCCAAAAATAAAAATCACCCTCTAGTTTTTTTTTGCTTTTAGCGAAATATATTAAGGTTCAGAATTTAAAATTTTGTATACCTTCCTTAAAGCCATGGCTTTAAAATAAAATTGTTGTAGGTTTATAGCTAAACTACAATTCACTCCATAACGATTTGTTTAATATATATCACCTTGGGGTAAAGTTGCTATGATTAAAACGGTTAAAAGGTTCTGTCTTATTTAAGCTGTAAAAAAGTAATTTTTAAATATAAGTCTACACTATATAAAGAAGAATAATTGAAATGTGCAATATGCCTAAAATGCACATTCAGAATGTGCTTTTGATTTAATTTTTTACATTCCCGTATCATTTTATACTAAAATGATGAATAGATGTCAAAATAGCAAATTTAAACAATATAGTTGTGTTCAATTTTATTTAACCACTGTACCCTGATGCTTAGCCACTTTACCCTGGGTAGAGGACTGCACGGGCTGTCCGTGGCCCGGCCCGAGCCTCGGGTCGGGTTCGGACATGAAAAAAGTTTTTTTCAGGCTCGGGTTGGGTTGTAAGAGTTGTCCGACCCGAAACCCGACCCGAAAAATGAATAATAATATTAATATCCTAAATAGTCATTATAATTTATAATATTAATTATAAAATCATATCATTTTTTATTTATCACATTTTATCCTTAAAATTTCAATCATAATAACATGTCATGTAATTATCAATTATTATTTTATAATTTACCCAACCGGATACCAAAATGTTTTATCACTTAATTGTGTGTTTCCCCAGTGAAGTACAAGATAAGACAAGACAAACTATTTTATGTACTAAAGATATAAGATAAGTTTTATTCTTTCATTTATTATTTTATTATATACATTTACCTATAAAACTTTCTATAATTCTGTTTATTTCCAAATATAAATTGGTCATGATTATTTTTAAAATAATCCTAATAACCTTATTTATTCGCTTTCTATAATTAGTAGTAGTAAAATTGTCCTTATCCATATTATTTTTACCATAATCTGTAGTTAGTTGATCTTTCTTACATACTAAATTTTTCTACATACTAAATTTTTCTAATGTTAATAATGTTGAATGAAATACTAATTATTAAAGATTTAAATCATCTCTCAAATCTAGTATAAACTCTAATAGATATAGATATTAAATCTGAAACTAGTTTTAAAATAAATTAACTTTTTATTAAAATATATCATTAAATTTTAGATTAGTTAATCAGCTCGATAAAACTCTCCATATGTGTGTTGAGACTAGATGGAATAGCAGGCTAAATATGATTGAATCGATTTTTAATCAATTTAATGAAATATTGGGGATCCTCAATTCCAGAGGAGAGTCGATTAGACTAGAAAATAATATTTTGAAATGATGAGGGATCTTATCAAGTTTCTGACGCCTTTTAAAATTGCGAGTGCTGAACTTGAGAGTGATTTAAAACTCACTATTCACAAAGTTACATTGTGTTATCATAAAATATTGAGTTTTTTAGCGCATTATAACTTAAACTCTCAGCTAAACCAGCTATCGCAAAGATGCCGGGAAATATTTGTGGATAAATTTCAAATAGATATATTCCACCAAATTACGACGTTTTTGTGCCCAAAATTTCGGGATATGAAAATTTTATCACGAGAATATTATAAAGATTTGTATCAACATATTAACACGTTGATGAATGCAGAGAAAATCAACAGAGATATTATTGAGCAAAAGTCTATAAATATCAACGCTCAACTGATTGAGTAGTAAATAAAGGTTCATTAAATTAATAATAAAATTATTTATTAAAAAATAATAAAGTAAATATATATCTTTTAATATTATTATTATATTATGAATATTTTTTTTCTTAAGAAAATACTGAGGTAGATACGTTTTTGGATTTCTCTCTATGGGAGGCTAACAATGCGTTTTCTGATGCTAGCGCCGAAGTTGACGAGCTTAAAAAATACCTAGATCCTAAATTATGTATAGAAGATGATAATATTTTAAATTGGTGGAAAACAAACCATAATGAGTTTCCAAATTTAAGTATTTTAGCTCTTAAATTTCTAGCTATCCCTGCTTCTTCGGCTAGCAGTGAAAGAGCGTTTTCAGCTACTGGTAGGGCCTTTGAAGAGAAAAGGACTTTTTTAAAGCCAGATAAACTGGACGCCTCTTTATTTATATATCATAATTATTCACTTTGTGATACCTTTGATAATGATATTGATATGTTAATATAATATAATATGTTCATTATATTTTTTATATATTTATTAACTTTAATATCATTATCATCTATATTCGACATAAATGATGCTTTTATTGTATTTTTATCGCTATAATTTTTAATTCGCTTGAATAGTAATCTTTTTATAATATTTTTTACAAATTAAATAAATTAATGCAACTTAATATATATCTTGAATAGATTATGGTCGTCAAATTAACATTTATTTAAGGTGGCCATGAATAAATACACATAAATTTTTTTTGGCTTTTATAATATTCAAACTCAAATTGCAAAATTTTATTCGGGCTCGGACAAAAAAATTTTAAATTCGGGGTCGGGTTTGGATTGCGAAAAAATTACTTTGCAGTCCTCTAACCCTGGGTATGGGGTAAAATGGCGAATATGACACACTTCAAATAATTAATCACACCTCCTCAACTATTATAGGTAGAGAGCCGCACTTTTTTTATTTTGTAGATGAGGGATTTGACTTCATATAAACATATATTGTTCTATTTTGTTAATGTTTCAAAATATTATGATAAAAAGCAAAATACCAATCGTTTTACCCCAGTCTTCCTTACTACCCACTATGTTGAGAAAAATTATTACACTGGATATCAAAGGGCTATTTCGGGAAGCAAGGTGTCTGTAAATAGTCATATGCTAAAAATATATTTTAAACCCCATTTATATATAATTAGAAAGCACATAAGATAAATAATAGTGCTTTAAACATTTCTAAAAAAATCGAACGCGTTCAACGTTCATTGACAAAATCGAACGCTTTCATCAAGTTCACCTTTAAAAAAAAGGAATACGTTTACGTTCGTTCAAAACTTTATGAATATTTTTTTTAAATTTCATTTAATATAAATAAATACCATATATTTTTTAACACAATATATAAGCTATTTTTAAAATTAATAGTTAAGTAAATATAAAAAATTTCTTACTAATTATAAATATATATAAACTTTTGCATATCATATAAAATTTAATTATATATAAAATATATAAATTCATTATACTTTAAATTGTGCTCAACTATTAAAATATAAAACCCTTGATATGATAAAGACTTAAAAATATAAAATTAAATAAATTTTAAAAGATATTAACTATTTTATACTATGCATATAATATATAGTATCTAATGATTTTTACTTTAAATCTATTGTAATAATAATTTAACAAGCATATGAAATACAACAATCTAAAATAAATTATTAAAAGGATTCTTATTATATTATATTATATAAAAGGATAAATTTGTATCTCTTTAAATGTGATCTTGAAGATTTTGAAACTGATATTATACTTTTTGAACATATCTTTTGGTAAATAAAATTAGTTTACTGATTATATGATGTTACTGTTATTTATTATATTTTGACTATGGTAATATTAATTACAGTTTTACAAAAATCTTCAAATAAAAATTTGAAGATTTTTTTCGCCCAAAATTTTGAGGAAAAAATCTTTGAAGATCAATTTTTTGCGAAGATTTTTTCGCTAAAAAAAATTTTGAGCTTGCTCAAAGAAGATTTATGAGCAAAATAAAAAATATTTTTTGTAAAAAAATCTTCTATAATTT